CGGGGGGGGGGGCTTTCTTCTTTTACAAAGCAAGCCATTTAAAATACAGATATATTTATGGCCTAACGGCTTCCTATACATCTTAGAAGTCTCGCCAGGAAGAGTACTATTATATAGTCATGGTGACTTAGAACACAATGCTGTAATTACCTTAAAAATTATTTCAAATTTAGGACTCAGTAGAAATGGAGAAAAAATTGTAAGAAAAAACCGAATGTGAGAAACGAGGCCACACTTTCATATGGACAAAAGAAAGATACCGTGGGTTCTGCAGAATAGAACCCTCAAAATCAAGGCCTCCCACAACACAGAAAAAGCTGAATGGGGTTTAAGAAAACACCCTAATGAGCACAAAATGTTCTCAGGGGCATCTCTTTCAAAACCACGATGACCGAAAGCTTGCAATAGTCAAATATAACCTTGAGTCATCTCAGATTCTTACTCCAGATGGGAACACAGACATAACAGGAAGAGTTTGCTTGCCACATGGCTCATAAAGTATTACTTTACAATATATTTCATTAAAAGGAGAGATTTTATTGTTCCTAACGTGAGTGGTCAAATGTGAAAAAAGCCAAATAGGACTCAGCACTACACAGTTCTCCCGAGGCCCGTGAGCCACCAGGGTTGCCTCGCTTGGCAGTGTTATGGGCCCTCCTGGGTTAGGGTTTTGGCTTCACCACCGACCAGCTGCATGGCCTTAGGTTCCTTACATTTGTGTATCTCTATTTCCTAATCTGTAGAGGTGGTAACAGTCCCTGCTTCACTGGGCTGCATATCAGCCAGTTTAGAATAGACTTGTACATAGTACGTGCTCGGTAATCATTGGCATTCTTAGGAAGGGAACAGACCTTATTAAAGTGCCACCACGATATCCCTGTCCACCCATATTTATTGAGTCCCATTTATGTGTCAGGCCCTGCACTAGGTGCTTCATACACAGTATTCCAGTTAATGTTCCAAACAATCTGAGCCAGTAGGAACAGCTACTTATTACTCTATGGAGGAAGCAGGTCCAAGAGATGAAATAACCTGGCCAAGGGCCACACGGCAAGTCAGTAAGGCAACAGGGTTTTAAGCCAACACTGGCCAACTCCAGATCCCGTGCTCTTTCCTCAAAGGGTTCAACCTCTCACGTGTGTCCTTTACACAATTCCTAAACCAAGAGAGAATTCATTCCATAATTGAACTGGCTAATTCACGGGAGCTAGTTACTTTGCTCTACTTTCAGAAAATCATTTAAAAGTTTCCAACCTTAAATTGATATCTTATCTATATCTTGAAGTTACAATACCAGTCAACTGGCTAACCTATTCTTTTTTTTTTCTAAAGAGATACATTTTAATAATTATGACAAAATTATAGATAATAATGTTCATTGAGATTATATCGAAAAGTTAGGTTTATATAGATTGAGGAATAACATATATTTCTTAAATGAAAGGAAGTTCCTCATTTTTTTCTTTTACACAGTGGAAATATCTTTACAGCTTTTGCTAATCAGCAAAATAGTATAAAGTCAAAAATATATATCATATATAATACTGACTTATAAAAAGTAGGAAATAAGTTCTTCTTTGTCCCCCAAACATGTTTTTAGCATTTCAATGTACATTCATACAGATTTTTAAATACATGTTACCATATTTTACATAAATGGAAAATACAACATATACCATTTAAAGTCTTTTAAAAACTATAACAATATTGTATTTTTCTTTCCATGTAAATACATATAAAATTATCTTATCTTCCTACTGTGCCCATGAGAGAAAATTAGTTTATCCAATCGCTAATGTGAACATTTTCTTGTTTCTACTATCTGTTTATAAACAACGCTGCAGTAAACATGTGAGTGCATAGTGCTACATACTTGTCTTATTATTTCCCTGTAAGTTTTTAAATGCACCTAATTCTTGATCAAGGGGTTAATTTTTATTAATGATTAAACAAATGACTGTACTTTCCAATATCAATCTATGGTCTATATCAGCTGTTTCCGTAAAGGGCCAGATGGTAAGTATTGTAGGCTTACAGTCCACATGATTTCTGTCCAGCTACCCAACTCTGCCACTACAATGTGAAAGCATGAAAATAAATGAGCGTGGCCATGTCCCAGTAAAACTTTATTTATAGACCCAGAAATTTGAGTTTTACGTAGCTTCACATGTCATAAATGTTATTCTTCTTTTAATTTTTTAACCACTTAAAAAAGTAAAAGCTATCCTTAGTTTATGAGCTGTATAAAAACAGGTAGTGAGTTTGGCCACAGGCTGTGGTCTGCCCCATCCTGGTCTGCATATAGGACCTGATGATTCAACCAGGCAAGACAACAAATTGTGTTTCCATGTACCCCTTCCATGTAACCCAAAGGTTAGTTATCATGTGCTTTTTAAAAACTCTGTTACAATGTGTGTAAAGTTATCAAGTAAACCAACATTCTTTTCTAAATTTTAATAAACAAATGACAGAGTAAAAAGTGAATTTCTTCAGTTGTTACTTACTGGATTCATTTTATATTGTGAGTGGTCAAATATGAAAAAAGAATATAAGAATTGATGTCTATTTATAGAACATATTTATCCTGGCCCTTTTTTAATTAACTGGTTTAATATATAAATATATTTATATAAGTGAATGTGTTATTTTCAGAATGGGTATTTTATATCTTTCCTATGACTAGTAAAACACATTTTAATTAAATGGCAATTTTTAAAGATGTACCTTGTACCAGTGAATCTTCATGTCAGTTTTGTTACGGGTGAATTCACTCAGTTCAGGGCAAACTAATGACCCAGAAGTTGACAAGGTAAGAATTTGTGGGTATGAGATGAAAGTCAGGGAAGCTTCTGTCTTCTTAAAAACCCTGAGCTCAATGGACATTTCGTCACAGTAAGAGGCATTTCTGATTTAAAAGGGGGGAAAAAAAGATAATAAATGGCAAGGCAAAATAAGAGTAAAACTAAATGAAATTAAGAACAATTCTCCAATCCTATTAAATTCTGCATTCTGCATTTTTTTTTTTTGATTACTATTGCAATACTTCTGTTCCTGATCCTTTTGAATACTTGGAAGAAAAAAAAGCATGATAGCATAATTGTGACATATTTAGCATTTTGAGCCGAATTTTAACCCCATCGAGAGCCACTAGAACATCCCCACATCCTCTTTGAAAGGGCCTAACCCCTTACAGATTCTGGGGCTCCTTGAGCAAACGTTCCAACTTCCTGGTCCAGGAAACTGTATCCAAATAAAGGAATTGTTTTCTAAAAGCTACTGTCTCCAAATAAAGAAAAGGACAGAGGATATTATTTAAAACTCTTAAGTAGAAAAACGAAAATATAAGTATCTCACTCAGTTCCTGGCTACTTAAGAAACACAGGACATCAACAAAGACAATGAGAATGTGTGTTATATAAGAGGGCACAGAGGGGCAAGAACTTGCATAGCAAAATGGAAAACAGTCTATATCCAAAGAAGAAACGAAATGTGAAAACTATATATGAAAGAAGAGAAAAAAGCTTTCTACCTGACTGCTAAAAGAATTAATTCAAATATATAAATCAATATCTATATTATATTCTATATCTGGTTGACGGACAGAAAAAGGAGATGAACAAACATTTTATGCACAAAGAAATGCAAAAGGTTAACTATAACCCTGAAAAACGCATAATCTCGCGGCAAGTCGCAGAGATGCGAATGAGGACAAATCAAAAGAACAGTACACACCTGACAGCAGTCTTCCTGGCAGGTCCTCGTACTGAGGAGGTGCCTGCCAGGCATGTTCTGGGTGCTCAGCACACATTATTTCATTTAATCTCCAACACTATGAGTTAGAAATTATTAGTATATCATTTTTACATGAGGAAAATTAGGTATACAGAAATTAAGTGATTTTCTAAGGCTGTGTAGCTACTAAGAGATCAAACCAAGGTTGGAAGCCCTTTAGAGTTCTGAGAATACCCTTAAATCAGGGCAATATCTCCAGAACCCAGAAACCAAGCTTTCTAGACATACCGAGAGTTACAGACCTGTTCACATTATCGATCTGGTCTTCCCCGTGAGCAAGGTACTCCACGAAAATAACCCAAAAGAAAGAGGAGTGAGGAGTAATTTGAAGACCACGCATATTCCCCACCGCAAAAGGGCGTAGTTGTTAGTGCCGTTCACCAAGTCAGCCCAGTTCTCCCTTCCTTAGCACACGGTGGCCCCACTGTGGGTGGGTGGAGTTACATGACAGTAGTCAGTGAGTTGCCTGTGTGTCACTGCTACACCAAAGTCTTAATAGCCAGGAGAGGCGCCCCTACTCCCACCCCCGAGTGTGTCTCCTTTTGGCACAGTGACCAACATTTGAAATAATGACTGATCCTTCGGCCTGGGTCCCTGCGCGTCTGCCCAGCCATCTTGGGCTCACTGCATGTGTGATAAATAAGCCTTTGTTGTTTGCAGCCACTGAGATCTGGGGGATGTTTGATTCGGGCTCGTAACCTTTTCCATCCAGACTGACAGAAGAACCATGTGGGCTCTAGATCATGAGATTATGAAAATCACAGGGACACAGCAGTTTCATGTCCTATGACTGCAAATGCCAAAGGGTATTGTGGTGGCTGCTGGTGATTCTCATGGGATCCGAACTCCAGTCTTAGACTGGAAGAGAGTTTTAGAGCTCAGCCCAGTAAACTGTTCCACATGCTCCTAAGGCTTGACCCACAGTTGGATTTCCACAGCCCCTCAATTCCAGATCTGTTCTATAAGAGCAGAACATAAAATAAGGGTATTAGGTACCTTTCTTTTAATTCAAGTATAAAAACAAACTTTAAGACAAACGTGACTCAGCCCTTGTCCCCCTGATTTTCAGTAGTCAATAAGTATTGCCTTTGGGAAAGAAAGAGAATTTCTTTGCACATATTGACCACCTGCTATAGTGCTCCCCACACTGGATGCTTCTCATGCTATGGTTTCGCAGAACCCTCTGCACAAACCTCTTTACAGAGGAGAAAACGGAGGCCTATAATTGTCAAGTGAAAAATGAGAGGGTTCAGATTCACATCCACGTCCTCCTGACTCCAAATTCCATTCTTTTTCTACCGCACTATTAATTTTCCCTAGTAGTGCTCCTTAGGAAAAAATAGGATGTTTTTGCACTAGAAAGGAAAGAAAAACTATGCATTTATAGCTATTGTAAAATCAGGTGAAGAAAAATAACAGCAGGGCAAAGAGATCGGGTGACAGGAGTGCCATTCTAGAGAAAGCTATTAAAGAGTTGACATTTGAGCAAAGGCTTGAATGAAGGAAGAGGGAGCCCTGAGGACGTCTGGGGAAAGGCTGTCGGTGGGAGGTATTTCAGGAGCAGTGAAGAGGACAGAAGATAGATTCTCACCTGTACAATGCATTTTGAAATCCAGGTCACCAAAGAACTGTGAGAGAGTCCGTTCTTCAAGGAGCCCTCACCCCACCCTCATCCCAGAAGGGCTTACCTAACGGTGCAAATGTAGGTGCCGGAGTTCCCCTGCAAGGCTGGCACAATCCAGAGAGCACCATCCTCGACCCATACTTGTGTCTCTTCGCCTCCTGGGGCCATCCCAGCAGAATCATTTTTCCGCCATGTCAGGTTGACACGGGGGCTAGCCGAGGCCCCCAACCAATACCGCACCTGGGGGCACCTCAGGACCACTGGCTCCCCTTCCACCCCAAAGGTGGTTTTGAAATGCTTGCCACGAAATTGGCAGTTTCCTGAAGCCACTGAAGGACAGAGAGAACACAGTCAGGTTTTGGGTCCAAAACCTCCCTTTGATGGGCACATCTGAGAACACAGTGTGTCCCTTAACAAAGCGTCCTGTACCCTAGGGACCCTATTATCTCCTCCTGTTATAATGGCTTCAAAACTCTCAAATAACAAGCTTAGGGCTGCTATCAATTACAATTTATGTTTTGTTAGGAAAGTTAAATCAGGTTCACACGGTGATGAAAAAAATAAAAATTTTGGCCCTATTTTTCACTTCTTTATCATTAAAGTATATCTGACTAAGTTCAGATACAAAAAAGAAAAAAGAAAAAAAGCTTAGTTGATGGGACACGTAGTTAAAATCCAAGGGCACCTTTTATCAAGGACAAAATCGCCACTTCTTTGGTTCACTCCTTTGGCAGGAATGGCGGATGCCAGAGCAGGAACCAGGCAACGGAAGACATGGGCCAGCGGAAGCAGTTGTCACTCACCAAGGCATGAATCGTTATACCTTGCTTTTTTAAAATTCTTTGATTTCTTATTTGCATCTCATCTTTTTAATTATTTTATTGAGGTAACGTTACGAGTCAGTAACATTATATAAATTTCAGGTGTGAGGCATTATCATTCAACACCTGCGTGCTCTATTGAGCGCTCACCACCCAAAGTCTAGTTTCCTTTCATCACCAGATGTTTGACCGCCTTTACCTATTTGCCCTCTCCCACACCCTCTTCCTCTCTGGTAACCACACCTTGTTTTTGATAAAAACAAAACTTCCCTAGGTAAACACCCGCTTTCCCCAGAGAAGCTGCAAGCAAGCCCCTTTCGTATGAAAGAGTCACTTCTCACCTGTGCGTTCCTCGGGCTGAATGGTGAAGGCAGAGACACCCGCTATCAACAGGTACAAGAAGAACATTGTTCCCGACAACTTCCAGAGGACTGAGGAAGTGGAGATCTCAGGCCTACCACCCTGTAACCTAGAGGGAGACACAGAGGGGTCACCAGGAACCACAGATACCTCAAGAGAGGATCTCTTGAATATTGTCCCAGGGGCTGGTTCTGCAGGCTTCACCTGATGATGGAAGCCTTTTCGTTTAGTAAGAAAACTCAAAATTGTTGGATTTGCTCTTCTACGGTTATATTCACTGAACATGCCTAACATCATTAGTAACAGCACTTACTAACTATCTTGGAATAGGAGTCCCATATCCTAAGTGTCTCTCCCTCTTGAAGTGTACCCCATCGCTCCCTGCCCCTCGGCCCGAGATGACCTTTCCCCAGCTAAGTCCCCTGCTCTATCCTCAGTTCTTTCAGGTATTTCCTCAAACATCACTCTTGGTGAGGTCTTCTCTGACCTTCCTGTGCAAAATCGCACCACCCTCCTACCCCAATACTCCATATTTTCCTCTCTTGCTCCTTTGATCTCTGTGGCATTCACCATGAGCCATGTCCCTCTCTAGAATGTAAGCTTCATGTGCACTAGCATCCTACTTTATTTTATTCACAGTTACATCCCTAAATCCTATTTGTTGAATAAATGAATGAATGAGTAAATAAAGCACTAGAAGTCAAATGATCTTCATATTTTCTTTGTCAGATATCTGTTCCTATAGTCATTGTGGATTAACTCTTACTTTACATGCAATTCCGACATATGCTGAGGGATTCTACAGACTGCTAACTCTCTGGTCTAGAGCATCCCAGAGAAAAAGCAAAATGAGGTCCAAAAAGTGAATAACATACACAAGTTTATGAAGCATTCCTCCCCATGAACCTCCACAAGCTGGTCAAGTACCTCTGTATCTCTCATCGGTCCCTCTCATACTATATCAAAATTGCTTGTTATATGGACTAGCCATTGTCACAATAATACTGCAAAGAAACCACCCCCAAACCAAATGGCATAAAACAACAATCTTTTATTCTTGCTCACGAGTCTGTGGGTCAGATGGAAGTTGGCTGACCTAGCTTAGGCTGGGTTAGGCTTGGCTCTAAGCTTCAGCTGGGATGAAGTCAGCTCCACGTGTCTCTCGCCCTCTTTGGACCAGTGACTTCTTGGGAGATGATCTTTTCATGTGATGGCAAATGCAAGCAATGTGAGCAAAAGTACTTAAGGCCTTGCTCAGAACTAGCTCACTCTTGTTAGCCTACATTCCATTGGCCAAAGCAAGTCATGTGGCCAAACCTGCTATCAGTGGGGTGGGGAAGTGCCCCTACCTCTAGTAGGAGGAGCTGTGAAGTTACACAAGGAGGGAGAAGAAATGAGAGCAATCGTGCTATCTACCACACCTATTCTTGTCTGGCTCTCCATGGATGGAGACAGCCTTGAAGACAGAGGACCGGTCTTATTCACAGCCTTCATGGTCTACACAGTGCCCAGTCCCAGAAGGTACCAGGGAATATTTATGATTTAAAGTATTTATGATTTTTTAAAGTATTTATGATTAAAATTTGAGAGTGATGAGTAAATCCAGAAAAAAAATCCCTACCACTATCCCTCCCCTACTTCCTTGAAGGAGTTTGGCTTGTTCCTTGTTCCTGGAACACATATCATTCTGAATGGCTCACAATAAAGCCAGGTGGCTCTTAACTGGCCATGCCAGGGTTGGCAAACTGAGGAAGTGATCCTTGCACTCCAGGAACCTTCCCTCATCAGCTGAGAGCATGGGCTCAGAGCCGCAGTCTGAACTCCCCCTGTAGTGGTATAAGGCCAGGGCCAAGCAGTGAAGGACCTGAGACTCTCCCTGGAGCTGGGTATCTGCCCCAGGGCTGCCTCCTCTAAGCTCATCCTGCATCTACTTGGTCTTACCCTTCACATGTTTCTGAAACATGAATATTTCCTGTAACTTTATCTCTATTCCCACCCTCAGGGTCACCAGGCCACTCGTTAGCATAAAAGTCAAATCGACATTGACCAAGTTGCTTTGTCCCTTTTGAACACACACTTAGCTTATCATGTCCCCAACTGTACTTCCCCAGTAAGGTTTCAAAAGAAGTAGAAGTTAGATACACCAGGTATAATCAATACCATAAATGAATGAAGTCGAAGATGCTAATATAGGAACTAATATAATAGTGACAGCTACTTTGCTAAACACTGAACATTTGTTCTTTCATTTTAACCCCATGATGTGACTATCATGCCAGTTTCACAGATGATATAATAGAAGAGATTAAAGAGGTTAATATCTTATAACTAGTAAGCAGGGGATGAAATCCCAGGACTGGTGATTCCATAGGCCTTAGTCTTTAAAAATATAGTTTCTGTGACAGATGTTACTAGTTTCCACCTCCAATATCTGTTCTCTCCACTTATCCAATAATTGAACTCCTGACTCTTAACTAAGTGCATCAGCACCCCACACAAAGACTACATTTCCCATCCTCTCTTGCAACTAGGAGTGGCAACATGACAAAATTTGGGCCAATGAAATGTAAGTGGAAATGTTTGATCTTCCTGGGAAGGCTACTTAAAAGTTTCCACTAGTCTTCCTTTCTGCTGGCTCAGTGTGGATCTGATGGCTGGATTGCAGCCACCATCTTGGGCCACAGAGTGTTGTGTTCTCACTGATCCTCTTTCTGGTACTCAATCGTTTCTGCTGATTAACTCTAAAAGGTCATTTGAAAGGCAAGAGGTGCTGGGCAGCCTCCCCATGAATAAAAGGAATCCCTCACCCCACCCCCACAAGACTCAGGTTCAGGCTTAGCCTCAGATTATGTGAAGGTTTTAATCACGTTTGAAATTCTTTTTAAACCAGAAAGTCAGGCTGCATCCATCCAGGGGCAGTTACTAGCTGAAGCTTCACAGAGCTACAGAGCTGGAAGAATCAGAGAAATCTAGTCCCATCGCTTTCTTTTTCAAGTGATCAAAGTGAGTTGAACGTTTATCCTCTTCTCAAAATCGCACATCTGCTCAGGGTGAGAAGTAGAGATGTTTCAACAAGGACTCCGTTCCAGTAAAACAAAATTCTAAAATGTTGCCCCCCTCAAGTAACGGCCACTCCCCACCCACCTCTGCATGCACCCAGGCTCCCCAGCCAAGAAAATTGTCCTGGCTTCTTCCCATGGACTTTGGCAAAATAGCTGCTTTGCTGTGACCTTTCCAGGAAGTGGCTTCAGACAATTCAAGCACAAACACACAGCAGTGACCATTTTCAATAATCAAAACAATAATCAAAGTTTGGAACCGAAATTACCAGCGTGCGGGAAACAGTAAGTCTCCCTTTAGCAGACCCAGAGGATAAAGAATTGGTCTTGCAGAGGTTTGCAGCAAAACACTTTTCTCCTGCCCTATTTTCTTTGGATTACAGATAATTTGACATTTCTGCTGGAAGAAAGAAATTTTAAGGGCAGTTGATTACAAGTATTTGAGTTACAAGTCTATCATTCTTTATGTGTGTCAAATAACCGTGTTTTACCACACTCAATGTAAGAACAGAGGAACAAGATGAAAAAGCAGGGCCAGAAATTAAAAACAAAAAAAAGAAGAAGGGGGGACAAAAAAAATGTGTGAAGAGTTAAAGGAAGAAGAAGAACATAGTAAGGTAGAAAGAGTTGATGACATAGCACTGAGCCAGACAGGGACTGGGCCCCATTCTCCCTGGCAGCCTCACTAAGGCCCAGGTAACCGCTTACCTGCCTTCGATGCCCAGGTGTCTGCCTCCTGCTCATGGATGGTACAAATTACCTAACCTTTTAATTTAGTTTTGAAAAATTCTCTCCCCCCGCTCCCGTGCGTGTGTGTGTGTGCGTGTGTGTGTGTGTGTGTTACCTAACCTTTTAATTTAGTTTTGAACAATTCTCTCCCCCCGCTCCCGTGCGTGTGTGTGTGTGCATGTGTGTGTGTGTGTGTGTGTCTTAATTTACCCAGAAACTTTTCTTTATTTCTATCCTCACCTCATTTCTGGAAGTTTTCAGGCAACTGAGTCTCTAAACTCTGAGTCACGTGGTACAGCCATCCATAAACAAAAGCAAGGTGACAGATCCTAAATATTAACAAAGTCAAACATCCGTTGGGCCTTAGGCATATTACTTAGTCACCTCTAGCTTGTGAAATAAATTCCTAAAAACCCAAACATGCTTTGGGCACATGGTACAAAACCTTGTGAAAGCCATGGGGAAAATAAGTATTTATATCGAAATTAAACTTGGGAATTTTGTAAAATTCAAAGCTGCAGCAAAATTAAAAGTAACTTGAACTCAATGTGTGGAAAGCACAGACAGGTAAGAGTTTGGCAAGTAGACCCTCTAGTGAAATATCTGACCAGGTTTGAGGCAGCTTTTGTTGAAAATTGTCCTGGTTCAAAGCAGAACCCTCGATGAGTTGTCCACAAATTATTTCTCTTCTTTAGAAAAGAGAGAAGCTAGTTCACCACCCCCTCTCCAGAATTAAAGGAGTTCAAAGCAGCATGATGGGACTGTTTCTGGTCTGCATGGCCAATGGTCATGTCAGAATGACAGCATCTCGATGTCCTTGACCGTGGTGCAGCCTGGGGAGACAGATTGCTTACTGGAAGCCGTGGTGTAGGAAGACTCATCTTTGGCAGAATTGGGCATTGGGCCACACTGGGCTCACTGTCAAAGGAGAAGAGCTACAGAGGCAAAGACTTGGCTCCAGCAAGGGCTACACACTTTCTTTATAATTTGACTTTCTGCCAATATGTATCTCATCCCTCTAAAACCACTCCTGCCCTATCATACCTTTTGAACTTGACCAACTTCTTCCTCAAAAACCATTGACTTAGAGTTTCAGTAAATTAACTCAACTCATCTTCCCACTTACTCAAACCTTCTGTTTATACTGCAGTCCCAGTAAGCCTGAGTCATTCAGCAGGCTGGACCATCAACCAAAGACACTTCCTTCACTTTCCTCCTGCATCAGGCCCTCCAAGGCTAACCACCCCACCCCCCACCTGCCCCATGAGACCATTCTGCTAGCTCAGAACAGTTGCTGTCTTTCTCCAAAGTGACTGACATA